TCCTAAAAAAGGTTTGGGATGGGATGGGATTGTCCTAAAGAAGGTTTGGGGTGGGATGGGAAGGGGATTGTCTGAGGGACCCCCAGGGGGTGATGAGGGACCCTGGGGTGGGTCAGGGACCCCCGGGGGGCTGAGGGACCCTGGGAGTGGTTGAAAGACCCTCAAGAGGGGACTGAGGGACCCCAGGGGGTGTCTGAGGGACCCCGGGAATGTCTGAGGGATGCCCGGGGGTATCTGAGGGACCCCTGGCGTGTCTGAGGGACCCCGGGAGTGTCTGAGAGACCAAAAGGGGTGTCTGAGGAACCTCTAGAGTGTCTGGGGGACCCCTGGGCATTGAGTGACCCCTGAGGTGTCTGAGGGGCCCCTGAGGTGTCTGAGGGGCCCCTGGAGTGTCTGAGGGACCCCTGGAGTGTCTGAGGGACCCCTGGAGTATCTGAGGGACCTGAGGAGCGTCTGAGTGACCCCGGGAATGTCTGAGGGCTCCCTGGAGTGTCTGAGGGACCCCCGGGCATTGGGTGACCCCAGAAGTGTCTGAGGGCTCCCTGGAGTATCTGAGGGACCCTCCGGCCGCGCCGAGTCCGCGGCAGCGCCGGGGCCTTCTAAGGCCCCGGCGCTGCCGCGGACTCGTCGCGGCCGGGTCGGAGGGGTCATGTCCCGAGCTGCGGGAGTTGCCGCTCCCCTCCATCTCCCCGTTTGTGCCCGTTATCCCCCCGTATCCCCCCTCCATCCCGGTCCCCGCTCACGGCGCAGCTCCCGCGGCCCCTCCGCGCTCATCGCGCCGCTGCTCCCGCCGCTCGCCTTGGCCCCGCCCACCGCGCCCTCCCATTGGCTGCGCCCGCCCCACGCCGGCATCCGATTGGCTGATCGCAACTCCCGCCGGGATCCGATTGGCTGATGGCGCCGGGCTGATTGCTCCGATTGGTCGGCGAGAGGGAGGGACACGCCCCCTTGGGGAGGGGGGGAACGCGCGGGGCATCATGGGAGGAGTGGCGGAAGTGCCGGCTGGGGCTCCCAGTAAATCCCAGTGCTCCCAGTAACAACTCCCAGTAACGCTCAGTGCTCCCAGTAACCCTCAGTGTTCCCAGTAACAACTCCCAGTGCTCCCACTAACAACCCCCAGTAACTCCCAGTAACAACTCCCAGTGCTTCCAGTAACAACTCCCACTAATTCCCAGTAACGCTCAGTGCTCCCAGTAACAACCCCCAGTGCTCCCAGTAACAACTCCCAGCGCTCCCAGTAACAACTCCCAGTAACAATCCCCAGTGCCCCCCAGTAACTCCCAGTATCTCTCAGTGATCCCAGTAAATCCCAGTGCTCCCAGTACCCACCACTGCCCCCCAGTAGCTCCCAGTACCCTCCAGTAATTCCCAGTACTTCCAGTAACCCCCCAGTGCCCCCCAGAAGCTCCCAGTAATGCTCAGTGATCCCAGTAACTCCCAGTGATCCCAGTAAATCCCAGTGCTTCCAGTAACCCCCCAGTGCCCCCAGTAGCTCCCAGTAATGCTCAGTGATCCCAGTAACTCCCACTGCTTCCAGTAACAACTCCCAGTGCTCCCAGTAACTCCCAGTGATCCCAGTAAATCCCAGTGCACCCCGTGCCCTCCAGTAGCTCCCAATGCTTCCAGTAACCCCCAGTAACTCCCAGTGCTCCCAGTATCCCCAAGTGCACTCCAGTAGGTCCCAGTAACTCCCAGTGCTCCCAGTATCCCCCAGTGCACTCCAGTAGGTCCCAGTACCCCCCAGTAACTCCCAGTGCCCCCCAGTCCAGTACCCACAGCAGCCTCCAGCAGCTCCCAGTATCTCCCAGCGACTCCCAGTATCCCCCAGCACCGTAGCCCCAGTGCTCCCAGTACACCCAGTATCCCCCAGTCCAATACCCCCAGCGCCCCCCAGTAGCTCCCAGTACCCCCAGCCCAGCACTCCCAGTGGTCTCCAGTGGCTCCCAGTGACTCCCAGTATACCCCAGCACCGCAGCCCCAGTGCTCCCAGTACACTCCAGTGCCCCCCAGTCCAGTACCCACAGCAGCCTCCAGTAGCTCCCAGTGACCCCCAGTAGCTCCCAGTGACT